GTACATACCTTCAGTGCTCATTTCCCTGGTTTTGGTTCTGTTTGCCTTTTCTATGTCACTTCTTAGCTCACTGTTCCTCCTGAGACCATTTAGGCAAACTCCTACTCCATCTTTTCTCTAGATTTACTAGGTTATTCCCTGTAGGATTGGCAGTCAGCTTTCTAGATGGAGAAACCATTTGAGCCTAACAGATGCAGTGTGCTTAGTTCAAGTGACAGTAAAATGAAAAGGAAAATTTGGTGTTAGAATTCCTTCACTAATCAGCTCCTTACCCTACAGCCAAAACCTGTCTCCTTAAATCTAACCAATACTTTTCATCAAACCTTAATTATCCAGGTATTGAGAAGCAAAGAAAAATAGTAGTTTCTAGAAGGATTCTATCCATTAAAATCAGGAAATATGATCTAAAAACCTAAGACATTTTATCAAAAGCAGGAAAACTAAACACTAAATTCTGTGTATTTTTAAGCTAGCTTACCTTGCAGCTCATAATAATATTCTTTTCAGGCTATAAGTTTAAAGGAAACCATTTCTTTTCCTTTCCTGTGAGAACAGTATCTCCTTCAGAAATCGGTCTTCTTCCATTCTGAAATAATACTTATTATACTTATACTGATATAATTGTGTTAACCTCTCTGCATCCAAATTTGACTAATGTTTGAGGTTTTAGGAGGCTTAAGTACTCTTTCTACTTGGTTGGGTTGACCTTCCCAGGATGTTGCTAAAGCTAGCCCTCGAAGGCAATTATAACTAAAAAAATAAAAAGGAGCCCATGTAGCTCCAGAGTCAGAAACTTGAGAGGGAGGTGAAGAAAGTGAAGATTAACATGAGAATAGCCCCTGTTCTCTAGATCTAGGTAAAGTGTCTGCTGCCTTTTTATTGGATCACTCATACTCTATACATTTTTAGAAAAGAAGAAATTGACAATAGAGAATCTTAATGTCTAAAACACTTTTAGTCCAGGCAGGCTAACTAGTTAGATGACTGGCTCTAGCAAGCACCTACAAAAAACCAATACAGGGGCAAGAACTAGTCTAAGCACCCTTTGCATTACCTTTCTTGTTCTCAGTGGAAAGAGTAATTTAAGCACTGTGGAATCTTATGTTTTCATAATCCAGGAACCCCCACCCTCACCCCCTCCATGATCGTTCTCTGGTTGCTGCTTGGTAGTTCTCACCTAGTTTCTTTGTGTTCTGGTGATAAGTGTTTGCAGTTTACAGCCTCCTCAGGGGAGGCTGTGCTGTATACTGTGCAGTACGTCACACATTTCTGAAAACTTTTCTATGTGTAATCATAGGACATACAGTTTCATTATGCTTTTAGCATGTTTTAAATGAAAATGGTTAATAAATGATTAGCATGCTTTGATATATGTATAATTGCTAAGATTAGTACCCAGTAAAAATCTTAATGTTTGTTTCTTTACTACTGAGATAACTGGACTAGTCTATGTAGCAAAATTTTACAGCTGAAGATATGGTTAAAATTACCCAACAAATAGAACATTTACAAAGAAGAAACTGAGGAGGAGATATTGTCAAACAAGGTCACATATTTCAGGAAAAACAAATGCAATTAACAGACCTAATTTAATTGTGAGAAAGGTAATCAGGCCTTGGTTTGTGCATGCTGTGCAGAAATGGGCTTGTGTTTCAGGAGGGTAAAGAAAAGAAAATCCAAAGTATACCAGCCTGATTATTAAAGGGTACTTTTTAGGGCTGCAAGTATGGCTCAAGTGGTAGAGCAAGTATGAGTCTTTGAGTTAAAACGTACTGCCACCCAAAGAAAAATAAGTAATTGAAAATTAAGCTAGGCATCAGTGGCTCAAACCTGTAAACCTAGCTACTAGGGAGGCTGAGATCTGAGGACTGTTGTTCCAAACCAGCCCAGGCAGGGAAATCTGTGAGACCCTTATAAACTACTCTTTTTAAAAAGCTAGAAGTAGCCGGGGCGCCAGTGGCTCACACCTGTAATCCTAGCTACTCAGGAGGCCGAGATCTAAGGATCACAATTCAAAGCCAGCCCAAGCAGAAAAGTCCGTGAGACTCTTATCTCCAATAACACCCACCCCCCCCCCGAAAACCGGAAGTGGCTCTGTGGCTCTAGCGGTAGAGTGCTTGCCTTGAGCTAAAGAGCTGAAGGATAGTGTCCAAGCCCAGAGTTCAAGCCCCACAACGGACCAATAAAAAAAAAGCTGGAAGTAGCACTATGGCTCAAGTGGTAGAGTACTTACCTTGAGCAAAAGAAGCTCGAGGAACAGTGTCCAGGCACTGAGTTTAATGGGACTGGCAAAAATAAAATTTAATTTAAAAACATAAATGAGTTAATTTTTCATATCTCAGAGAAAATATGAAAAGTCCACCCTTTAGGGTGGCTGTCCAGAAAGTTTAGATAAATTGTGAAGACTGTTCTGCTCAGAAGCAATGAGAAAAAATTCATAGTTTCCTAAATTGTTTCATTTGATAGCATGTAAACTCAGTTTCCTGGATCAAAGGTACTAAGTTATCAACACCAGCATAATATGCTTACAACCGAAAATGGAGAGAAGAGGAAGAGACTGACAGTTTGAGTTTATGGCCTCATCATTAACACCGTTAAGTCTTAAATTAGAGTAGGTAGTAACTTGACAAGGACAAGATCTTGTGGCCAGAAATGCCAGACTGAAAGTTAGAACTCAGAGCCAGCCAAAGCCATCACACTCAGAAATGGAAACAATTCAGATCAGGTCAGTTTATTGAGTACCATGTTTCTGGTCCAGTGGGCAGTAAGATAGTAAGAGTATGATAGTAGACTTACATTAGTTAAGGATATTTTGGAGAACTCTTCATAACAGTATGTTTGTACACACATGTGCACATGTGTGTGTGAGTCTGTGTGTGTGTGTGTGTGTGTGTGTGTGTGTGTATTTCTCAACATTATCTTGTTGGAACTCATTTCTTTCTGGATTGCCTCTTACTGGGAGCTACACCTAACTCCATGTTCTCCATGTGGTACTGCAAACCAGTCCATTAACCACATTCATGGTGCCTTCTTGGCTTGTCATGCAGCTAGTTGAGCTTTTCTTCTGCACCTCCCTACAAAACTGCACATAATGGGCACTTTAAGTACAGTAGCCTCATGACATTTGCCAGTATGGAGTTCAATTATTTGGCTTCTCATAAATTACTGTTTTTTCTTAGTCTATGAATTTTAACTCACAGAGATGCTCTAAGGATAATCTGATCCCAAAGCTAAGTGAGTAAGCATAACCAACCAACAGCCTAGCTTCTGAGTTTTATGGATACTCTTGGAACATTGTTTATATATAAAGTAATTATTGAGTCATTAAAAAAAAATACTTCAGCCAGGTGCTGGTGGCTCACACTTATATAATCCTAGCTACTCAGGATGCTGAGATTTGAGATTCTTGGTTTGAAACCCTCCAAGGTAGAAAAACTCAAGAGATGCTTAGCTCCAATTAAACCACTGAAAAACCAGAAGTGGATCTGTGAATCAAGTGATAGAGCCTTGCTAGCTTTGAGGAAAAAACGCTCAGGGACAGTGCCCAGACCCTGAGTTGAAGCCGTAGGACTGAAACAACAACCAAAACAGACAAAAGGTTCAAGGAGAAGAAAACAACAAACAACTTTAGATTGTTGAAGACAGTCATTCATAGTGTGAGATATGCATATAACTACTGGGGATCAGATATAAATGTATAAATGTGGGACATGAAAAGTCCTAGAATTGTGCTGAATTCTAGATTTCTATTTCAGGATCCTTGAAGAACTCCTAAGTATATGAGAATATGAGGGATATACCGCATACTTTTTCAATCACTTCTTATCTCAATACATGTGTCTCCATGTTTCAGTGGTGCTTAACCAGGGCTATACATAAGAATTACATACAGGAAGACTTCATTCCAGACCTACTGAAAGAGAATCTCCATGATTAAGTTAGGATGTGTTCATTTTGAAAGAAAAAAAAAGTGTAGAGATCATTCCGATGAATATAACTTCTAATTTAATGAGGAATTCCATGGGGAAAAGCCACCTGATAGGTTCTGTCATACACGGACAGCTGTGAGGCTGTCATGCTGTGTTGGCTGACAAGCTAATGGTTTCCAAGGATTGGTTAATATTTTAATCAAGCAGTACCACAAGTAACCCCTAAGTTCAATTGTCCAGGGTGGTATTACCAGACTGCTTGTTTCTCTCTTCTTTTATCTGTCCTTGAACATGTTGTTCCATATTAACACCTTGGAAAAAAAATACATACATATCAGTTGAATGCTTATTTTTTAGTCCTTTTTAAAAAATAGTGATAGGAGGTTAAAGATCACAAATAAATAAATGGAAAATGCACACACACATAACCACTTTTGTTGCTTTATTTACAGTGACCAGCTTATAATTTGCATCTGTGAAACTCCTTCTGAGACTTCAGAGCACTTCCTTTTTCTTTTCTTACCATCATCCTAGGGACTAGGATGATACTTGCCCTACTCCATCCCCTAACTCCTCACTCTTCTACCTTTACTATAGATACAGGAGTGAGACAGGAAATGTCCTGAGTTTTAATATTCATAAGTGACACTATTTAATCAGAAAAGGCTTGGAGGAATTGAAAACTGAAGGAAATTATTAGGATAAATATTGTGATTTACAAAAGCTCAATGTCACATAAAAAGTCAATGATATTCACTCTTGGAACACAAGGTTGGTTTGCTGATGATGTAAGGGTAGAGTTTTTATCATTTTGCTTTTTACTGACACGTATTTTAAAGAGTCTGGCCCCAAAGCCTTGAATCTGGCCAGTCATAGAATGCAAATAAGTATAAGTTAGAGCTAAGTAGCCTTCTGTGCAGTCAGTTGAATTGCTTTCCTTAAATTGTATCTCCATCTCCAGCTGTGAAGTGAGACATCTGATTTGAAAAGTGCAATTATGACTGGAAACAAAAATCAGTCCTTTACTAATGCTGTTTTCTTTTCTTTTTTGTTTTTGTCTCCTTTCTCTAGCATGAAAGACTTTCTAGGTAAGAACTCTCCCTGTTTTGTGTGCATGCTTATGTTAACTTGTGAGTGAACATATGTCTAATTGAATTTAGCTTTATATAATTGTTTGGTAATGTTCCTCACATACTTTTCTTCATTTTCATTTCCACAGCCCCCACATAATTTAGACTTTTATTACTTGCCTAAAGTAATGGATCTGCTTCCAACTCAACTTCCTGTCCCCAGGTTCTCCTCTTTCCAATTTACCTTATATATGTCCAGTAGATTAATTTTCCTAATGCACCAGTACATGGCACTATGCTTAACACTAGGGAAACAACATGAATATGACCCATCCATAACCAACAGTTACCTTTCAAAACTACTGGAGAAGACAGATCCTTTCCAAAGAACATAATGAATGTTGTTTAGAAATATGAATGCTAAAATCAACACAGAGAAGAGACACCTTAATCAGTGGTTCAGGAAGACTTCACTGCAGAGTGCAAACCTGCATTGAGATTGTGGCTAAATGCTCTCATTTTATAAGGGACCCAACACTATACCATGTACCTAAGGTGATATGTAACAGAATTTGGGGGTAGTTTTATTGTTACCAGCGCTTAAACTCAGGACCCTCTTTTTTTTTTTTTGTCGGTCGTGGGGCTTGAACTCAGGACCCTCTTAACTGCTGGTGCTCTATTACTTGAGTCACATCCCCATCCTGGCTTTTTGCTAGGTTTTTTGGAGATGGAGTTTCACATTTTTCTGCTAAGCTGGCTTTGACCCTCAGTCTTCCAGATCTCAGCCTCCAGAGTGTTATGGTTACAGGTGTGAGCCACTGGCATCCAGCTTGATGCCATTTGTGAAAAGAGACTTCTACAAACTTCAAATATGCTATAAAATTGCAGTGATTAAAGCAACAATGAGATACAGTTTAAAATAGAGTGATAGAAACATACCATAACCTCCCATAAAGTCATATGTATAAAATGAAATTTCATGTCAGTGGGGAAACAATTTCTCAAAAGTGATAACTTAGCCGGGTGCTGGTGGCTCACGCCTATAATCCTAGCTACTCAGGAGGCTGAGATCTGAGGATCACAGTTCAAAGCTAGCCCAGGCAGGAAAGTCCGTGAGACTCTTATTTCCAGTAAACCACCAGAAAACCGGAAGTGGCACTACAGCTCAAGTGGTAGAGCGCTCGCCTTGAGCTGAAGAGCTGAGAGACAGTGCTCAGGCCCAGAGTTCAAGCCCCATGACCGACAAAAAAAAAGTGATAACTTAGACAGTTGTTTGGGAGGTACCACCTTCCTTCAGGCTATGACCATCCCCCAAAAAGGAACATTCCAAATGGATTGCAATTTGATTAAAAGAAAAACAAATTCCCACAAAAATAGTAGGGAATATTATTCTATAATCTTTGTATAGGAAATGCCTTTCCAAGCATTGTACCATAAAGGTAAAAATTGTCACAGTTACATAAAATTTAAATTTTCTTCTGGTAAAAGCACTAGAGACAGATACAAAACGTGATATAGAAAGAATACTTATAACCTTGTTGTAAAAGTTGTAAAAGTTCAACTGTGTATCAACTGTGTAGAAGAGTCCTCCAACATAGCAAAAAATGATCATCAGCTTGCCAAAGGATTGAACAAGCAATTCAAAAACAGTATGAATAACCAGAGATATTTAAAACATTAAAATTAGTAATGATAAAACTAATTTATTTGTTATTGAAAAGGATTAATCCTCCCTGGAAGGCAATATGGCTCTACCTTTCTATACACCTTCATATACTATCAGCACTTAAAATATATTTATCACTTCATTAAACAATTATATTTCTAAGATTTGTTCTAATAAAAAGTTGGACAACACCAAGATTTATAGGCAATACTACTCATTGTAATAGTCCTGGTAGCAGAGAATTTTGAAAAAATATGTATTTGTCAGTTGAAAGGTAATTAACAACCAGGAATGGACTGTGCTGTCATTTTTTTTTAATGCTGGTACTGGGTTTTGAACTCAAGGCCTCTCACTGTTGCTTCATTTTTTCATTCAAGGCTGGTGCTCTACCACTTGAGCCACACACTTCTCAGATTTGTCTGCCCAGGCTGGCTTCAAACCTCAGTCATCAGATCTCTCAGCCACCTAAATAGCTAGGATTACAGGTGTAAACGACCAACATCCAGCTCTATTATTTTTTAATGAGCCAAATTTATTTTTATTTATACATTTAGGTGCTTATAATCATAACGTTAAGTATGAGGAAGAAGGGGATAAGACAGCATAGGTATTACTTGATTTTATTTATGGAAGTATATATTGTAACATAATACTGGACATTTTGCAAGTATATGAGCCAAGCTATTTTTTGGTAGTAGTAAAATGTTAAACATAGTGTATTGAACTTGCTAAACAAGTGCTTTACCACTTGAACTATGCCCCCTACTCTGAACTAAACTCTTAGTAGTGATTTTTTTAATAATTTTATTTATTTATTTTTGTTTATGTGGTACTAAAGAATGGAACCCAGGATCTCTCATGCATGCTAGGCAAGCACTCTACCACTAAGCCACATTCCTTGCCCTGACTATTTCTTGAATGAGAGATTATAGGGATAAACACTTTGGTGCTACATAATGTTATACAAACTTGAAAAAAATCAATATAGAAATTTCTATTATCAAGAAAAAAGGAAGTGAGAAGTGAGGGAGGGAGATAGGGAATGTAGGTAGGTAGGAAAGAAGGACTTCACATCTCTATAAAAGGGGACATTGGTGTCCATAATCACTAGTTACCTTTCTTCTCCTGTCTGCCCTCATCTTCATGGCTCTCCTCATGCTTGCTTCATCACCCCAACCTTGTCAATAGCTACCACAGAAACATCAGATTCAAATGCTGCAGCTGTAATGCTATAAACCAGCCCAGTTTGGAGATAGATTGTTCTTCAGGACTGGTTTGTACATAGCACTTTAAACATGCTCCACATTCTGGTTAGCAGAGCAAAATCCAGGAAAATACAAGCCAGTGTTAAGGACCAGTGGGGAAAATGATAGTCTTATATTTTAAACAGATAATCAGCTGAGAGACTCTTCCCTAATACACTTAGCAATAGTAGAAATAAAACTCACATCAACTCTAAGAGCTCTGTTGCTAATGTAGAAGTCCTATTTACAGACACAAGTCTTGATATGAAATAGAGGATAAAAATGAGCTGTGTTAGCACTGGAATGACACCCTTGGACTGTTAGGGACTCTAGTACACCAATAGTACACCGATTGAAAGTAGATCGGCATGCCTCCCCCATTCAGCCTCCAGCTCAGTCTCAACGCTCATGTTTCTGATTCATTGACAGTTTGTTATAATCATTTTCCAAGAGCCACTGAGATCCAAGAAACTTTTGCTTTTAAAAACATACTCATTAGGGAAGCTGTTCAACTCCAAACTAATTTGAAAAGCTCTTAAGATTTAAGTCAGCACATGGGTCCAAACCACCAATTTTTCAGGAAAGCTCCATTCTTGGCAAATGATAGCCTTCCTCCCAAAAGCTCCATACTTGTACAGCTTAGCCTTGAGATCCAGGAATGCAGGCTGAGAGATTCAAAGAAGGAATGCTCTTCATTGCTTCTTGCCAGGACTCTCAAACACTTCTTAGAAAAGCAGAAAGTACCCTATACCCATATACTTCTCAAAATCAATTTTTATCTTTAATGTCTCCCACAGATTGGAATCGGGAGGTAGTAACCCCACAACCAGCGATTCTTATGCTGACCGGGCCTCAGCAAGAGCTCGTCGGGAAGCCCGAGAGGCCCGACTGGCCAGCCTGACCAGCCGGGTGGAAGAGGACAGCAACAGGGATTATAAAAGAGTAGGGTCTTTTTCGGTTTCCTGACCATGGGTTATCACAGCAGATAAACTTTTCACTTTTCCTCCACTGTAAAAAAAAAAAAATCAGCATGGTTTTGAAAGGGAAAAAAAGACACTTCAATAACAACCAATTCCTCGCAGACTTCTTGGTTTGCTTCACCGCTATACCCATTCAAAAAAGACTCATTTGGATATTGTTTTCTTTTTATTGCAGTAGGATTATGCCTTGATAGTTAGAGGTATAGGAAAAACTAAGAAATTAAGAATTATCAGATAGTTTAGTCTGTGTAGGTCCCTGAAAATCATTGGGTAGACTGCTATTTTTAATAAACATGTACTTTTAATAAGGCTCTAGTAATATTAACTAAATACCTTTTTATGTTAGTTTAAAAAAAATCATCTATCTGAGCTTGGAGAAGATTTAAATCATTTTATTGTTTATTTCCTTTGTTGCTTCCTAGCTAGACCTTGAAAACGTCCCCTGTGCTTGAGATACCAGGAGAAAACATTTTTGGTTAAGGAAATTTTTCTTTGTTGATATTCTTAAGCAGAATTTGATGAAAGGCAGTATGTACATATAGACCGGTTTTTTAAAAAGGTAATTATGTTTTGTACATGAAGCCACACTTTTTTTCTATTTTATTTTATTTTTTTTATTTTTTATTTTTTGTGAACATACTGTACAGAGGGGTTACAATTACAATGAAGCCACACTTTTAAGCAGTGTAAATGCCCCACAAGAGAAAGTGAGTGACTGGATTTTTCTCTCAGAGATTAACATTACTGAACATCTTATTTGTGTTCAGCTCCTGGGATCATGCCTTATAGAAGTCAGCAAGAATGTGCCCTGTTCCCTATCTAGATTTCCTTCATCTTTTCCACTCACTCCCAGTGGTGACTTAGGTATAGAGCCCAGGCATTCTTAACAGCTGCAGCTGGGAGTTCTAGTGACCTGATTCTGCTTTCCTCTTACAGCTCTATGAGAATGCCCTCACTGAAAACCAAAAACTGAAAACTAAACTTCAGGAGGCCCAGCTAGAGCTGTCAGATATAAAATCCAAGCTTGAGAAGATGGCCCAGGTGAGTGGTAGGGGAACAAAGCTGGGAGACAGAGGCTGATATAAGGAGTCAAAGTGGATTAGGAATCTAAGGGACAAGATGTGAGATAGGCTCTTTCCATCTCCTACATATCTGCACTTCTGCAATGGATAGTCATAAGGAATCCCTTCAGTTTCCTCATCAAGAGGAACAAACAAACTTATAGCACAAAGCCCAATAACCTGAAGGCCGGCAATTTCTTTCGGTACAAGGGGCTGATCCACTGTAAGACTGTGGGCATGGAACCTGCTGCCTGCAACAAAGGTGTTGTGGTAGTCATGAAGCAGAGCTAGTCAGCAGAAGCCAGATACATCCTACGTGCAGACCAATAAGAATGCACAGGCAGCATCAGGCACAAGATCTGCCCCCATCTGCACATGACTGCCATCAGCAGCGCTAGTGCCGTCCTGTGCAGCCAGAAGCCTGTGGTGGTAAAGAAGAAGTAGACCTGCCCCACTAAGAGCTCCTGAGCCCACACCACCAAAAGGAAGAAAGTAGTCACCAAATTGTCAACCACAAAATAAAAATTGCTTCTGCAATGACAGTGAGATAAAAAGCCTCTGAGTCTAAGTTAATGTGAGAGTTCAACCAATGTTTAACTTAAAATTGAAAGCTGAAAGTTTAGTGAACAACTCCTGATAGGCCGAATGCTAACATTATTATCTATTCATTTCTTAGTAGAAAATATAATCCAGCACTCCAAGGCTAGCCCTAGACAGTTTCTCTTGACTTATTCATGTTTTTCCGTTCATTTTCTCTGCGTACCACCTCTTAGAAAGGTGTAACAAGACTCTATAACTAGTACAGAGAGGTAGCTGATAGGGCCAAGACAAATAAGTGGTTTGCTTGGGTCACATCAGGGACAGAGGTAGTCCTAGATCCCAGAACTAGATTCCAAAGCAGTGATTCCATCCTGGAACAAAATAGACCCCCTAGGTCCCCCTCTTCTAGGAACCAATGGCAGGAAGATCAGATAAACCACTTCCTTTCATGGTAAGGCCTGATTTCATTAGGTGGTGCTTGAGAGTGTGCTAGAGGTAATGACCTCATCACGAGTGAAACAGGCCCTGCAGCTGAAAGCTGAAGCAGTGCTATCTGAGGTTATTGGAGAGTTAACAGGAAATCTATTGAGTTATTGCCCTCCTGGAATGCCTAGAGACTAAGAATTTCAAAAGCTGAACTGAGGTAAAATGACTCTTTACAAGGAGAGTGCAAAATGAAAAACAGAGGTGGCTGCTTCATGTGGTAACATGATATAATTCAAAAGCAAAGACTAAAACGTAGAGTGGTAGAGTTCCAGGTACATGGGATCTGATGAGGGAAGGGGTGGTAGACTACCCTCTGAATATCTTGTGTAGCCCTTCTGGCTTAGGATAAGTGAGGGGACATCAGCACCTGGAAGACAGGGCTACAGAACTGCATGTGTTCCAGCAAGTCAGCCAAAACTCTCACACTTTCCAGAGACAGGCTTAGCTACGCTCATAATGGATGGTCTATCCTAAGAGCAGCCAGTCAGTTTGGCCAGGGTCTCCTCTTCTGCCGAAAGGTAGTAGTGAAACATGGAACACTGGAGTATCTGAGCTGTAAAAGATAGATAACAGCTGTACTTAAAGAGATTTTGTGGAGCAAGCAAAGGAAGGGGAAAATACAACACAATTACAACCCTGCCATAAGGCAGGGAGTTGGGCTAAATAAGCCTTTAAAGTATTTTTTCCCCTCAGTATTACCAAGCAGGCAAATGTCTTCTCAAGAGAGCATTAGAAGATAGCAGGCTGATTTTCATTCTGAATAATGCCATTTATCTAACAGTTAAAAAAGACCTTATGCTGGTTCTCACAGATAAGTATGGGGCTGTAATTGTTATTACAGAAAGCTAAGTAGTCCCTGTGAGGAGTCACAAGAAGGACCCAAATCCACTTGCTACCCATCTCCCGAGCAGAAGCTTCTGACAGCTCTTGACCTTTCCTCCAGCCTGTGTTATATGCAGCAAGCTGCAGATGCTCCAAAGACCTTAGAAACAAATCAGCCTTTCCAAGCCACTGGGGAACAGCATCTACTCTGAGCCAACTGCTTGTTGGGTGTATCAGAATATAGTTAGTTTTGCCAAACACAAATTATTGAAATTCAGAAGAAATGGTAGCTATACAAACTCTCAATTTACCAAAAATGGACTTGTTTGATAGAACAGTGGAGGGAGGGCCCTGTAAGTGTCACACGTTTGTTTGGAGGAAGTTATCACATGGACACACTCAGTGTTTTTACATAAAAGATACATCTAAACTCTTTTTTTTTTTTGTCGGTCATGGGGCTTGAACTCTGGGTTTGGGCGCTGTCCCTCAACTCTTTAGCTCAAGGCTAGCACTCTACCACTTGAAACACAGCACCACTTCCGGCTTTTTCTGCTTACGTGGTGCTGAGGAATAGAACCCAGGGCCTCGAGCATGCAAGGCAAGCACTCTACCACTGAGCCACCTTCCCGGCCCACATCCAAACTCTTAAGTGGACTAAAATTTCAAACAAAACAAGCAAAAACAAAAAACTAGTTCTTTATATACTGAACTTTGAAAATGGTGAAATCTTCACAGCTTTTACAGCTTCTCTAACTTAGTAAAGTGAGACTTTGGAGCATATAGGATCTCATGATCTTTCCTTTTCCTTCTGCTTCACAGTAGACTTACTATAAAGGCAGATAGCCATGACCTTCAGAACAGAAAGTGAAAGCACAGGAGCAAGTTTTATTGCTAGTTTTGGCTATTAAGAACAAATAAAGGGAAAGAGGGAAGCGAGGGAGGAAGAAAATAAAGAAAAAAAGAGGAAAAAGGAAAGAAAAAGGAAAGAGGGGAAGGGAAAGGAAGGGAAAGTGGGAAGAAGAGGGGAAGAGAAGAAAGGAGAGGAATCTGCAAGAAGGCTAGTTTATTAAACGAAGTGTAGGCATTGTGTGAAGCAAAACAAAAACAATCACCTTTTACTTACTATATGTCTATTGAGTGTAAGAAAATCTACTCACTTCTATAATGCTATAACCAAAAGGAACTTAAGGGTTCCTTTCCACTCTTCTATTTAAAGCAAGATCATTACCTGATGTTAGTCTACTTCTTAGTTGTAATAGCCAACTCTTGTTAGCCCCTCAGAAAATTTTAAATGGAAAGTCAAAGATGACCAGGAAACATTGTACACATGTGTCAAATTTTTACAATAAACCTTTCTTGTACAGCTAATGGATGCTAATTATTTTAAAATCAGAAAGTATCTAAAATATATATCCTAAATGTTGTATCCACATACTAAAAGTCTAGATTATAAACTAGATAGAAGCAGAACTGCTGTGTTCAAAGCAGGATGCCCAAACAGAAGAATAGGAAGGAAAGCTCATGTAAAAGAGTGCTATGGACGGGGCTGGGAAGGTGGTTCAGTGGTAGAGCGCTTGCCTCCTATGCATGAGGCCCTGAGTTCGATTCAGCACCACATAAACAGAAAAAGCCAGAAGTGGCTCAAGTGCTAGAGCACTAGCCTTGAGCTGAAGAGCTGAGGGACAGCACCCAGGCCCAGAGTTCAAGCCCCATGACCAACAACAACAAAAAGTGCTATGGCGCTTACACATTCAAGTTCAGAGCCTCTTTTTTTCTCGGATGTGGTAGGACATAGAAGAGGGAAAGGGAAGGTGCAGTATAAGAAACTAGTAAATATGAAACAGTGTGTGTGTGTGTATGTGTGTGTCAGGTCTGTGTGTGCATTATGTGTAATGTCTATGCATGTAAGTGTTCTAAATTTCAGGAACTACTATTTTGCTCTCCCCAAACCCTAGAGAGGTAATAATAGTGCTTGGCAATCTGTCAGATTCTATTTGACTGCTAAACTGAAAGTCCTGCTATCCTTATCTGGATGTTTGATGGTAAAGCTGAACAAGGCAGAGCTTTCCACTGGCTCTGAAACAGCCTAAGTAACAAATGTTTTCTTTCCACTTGCACAGCAGAAACAAGAGAAGACCTCTGACCGATCCTCAATGCTGGAGATGGAGAAACGGGTATGTGTATGTCTGTTTTCCCCCTACTTCATCTCTTCTTTCTGACCTTCTCTAACTTTATTGTTTGTGCCAATGGAAAAAGTTCATCTTAAGAAGGCGGGAGTTATGCCACACTGCATTCCCAGCTTGGTGATAAATTCTTTTTGTCTGACTCTGGACAGTAATTTGATCACTAGCCCTCTTGGCTTCCTCCGATATTCAGTTCTTTGTACATTTTCCAGTCTTCGGGTGGGAAAGGTCCTTGGGAGCTCATCCCATAAATTATTCTGCCCATATGCAGAACTGCACACATGCACAGAGCCATAATATACTTTGGTCCATACACGCAGGTCCAAGCGCTCTTTGCCCTTCCTTTGATCTTGAACAAAAGGGAAGCTTGCATCAGGACCCTTTGCCATTGACTTAAGTCTTACGACTTGAGACGTAAGCCATCAGTCTTTCAGTCACTCTGAGTAAAGGGGGGAGGGGAGGGGACTTCTGGTTCAATTTCTGACCTCCCATTATACTCAGCATATTTTTCTTGGATTTGACATCTTGGTTTGGGAAAACTTGATTAAATCTATTGATGAATCCTAGCTGTTATTTGACCTTAGGGATATAATATGTTTCCATTTCTCCTGTTATTATCTGTTAATTTGGAAAGTTAGCTAAATTTTACATTCCATTTCCTTGGCCTGTAACCTTTCCTCCTTGGTATCTTATCTGATTAAAGATGCTTCCTTGGGTTCAGACTAAATTACAAATTAGTTGCTGAGAGAATGATGGGGAAGGCAGAAGTTGGGAGACAGGTGGTTTTTCTTTGTAAATAGTGATGTCTACTTCTCTACCACCATCATTCCCTATCATGAGAGAAGCAGTTCCCTAAGAATTTAAGGAGATACTTCTGAAGAAAATGATCAATAGTCTTAGTCAGTTGCAGTCATCTGAATTCTTTAACTTGCAAGAACAACTCAGTACTGTGCCCTGGTCTGTTTGCCTATTAGCAAGCTGCTGCTTCTCCTTGTATCTTTTTATCTTTTTTTTTTTCTAATCAGGGCTTGAGCTCTCACTTGGCATTTTTACTCAAAGATGGTGCTCTACCACTTGAGCCACATCTCTGCTTCCAGCTCTTTTGCTGTTAGAGATGAATCTCACAGACTTTCCTGCACAGGTTGACTTTGAACCCAATTCTCATATCTCAGCCTCCTGAGTAGCTAGCATTATAGGTTTGAGCCAGCACCCAGTCCATTTTTCTTTTCCTTTTCTTTTCTTTTTTTTTTTTTTTTGATCATTTGTGGGGCTTGAACTCTGGGCCTGGGCGCTGTCCCTCAGCAATTCAGCTCAAGATGAGTGCTCTACCACTTGAGCTACAGCACCACTTCTGGCTTTTTCTACTTATGTGGTACTGAGGAATCAAACCCAGGGACTTATGCATGGGAGGCAAGCACTCTATCACTGAGCCACCTTCCCAGCTCCTATTTTATCTTTTTAATTGGAGACTTAGAATACTGTGATTTTGATCAATGGGGTGACTCCATCCCACTGGGGCAGAGACAGGGCAGTAGAGGTACCTGGGGAATCTTTCCTGATCATTAGCTAGAACCATGCTAATCACATGGTAGGATTGCGACTACTTCTAAATCTATTGCAAACTCAACAGGTTCGTTGTTTCTAAACAGGAAAGGCGAGCCTTGGAGCGAAAAATGTCAGAAATGGAGGAAGAGATGAAGGTATGAAGATATTTTCTCTTTCTGTGTGCCTATTTTCTGAATGCCCTCTGACACTGGATACTTGAAAATAGGCCTGCCCCCTCTAAATTTCACAACAAACTGAACATTATCAAGAAGAGTGGATGTGCGCTGTAAGGTGGAAGTGAACAGACATTTCTGAGGCTCTCTTAGCTCATATGCATCTACTATGGCTATCACATAAGCTTTCTAAAATGCTGTGTTTGGTTAGTGGGGAGATCTGACAGGCTAGAAGTAAAGCCAAGTTGAACTTTTAAGGTTTTCTAACCTTCTGTTTTGAGAGGCTCCATGAAAAGGCCAGAATATTTTCTCTAGCTCTGCAGATGCTCCACTAAGCTCAGGAAAGCCTGGGTACAGCTAGTAGCTCTTCTCTAATATCTTTTCTACCCTCCCCTTACAGGAAGGAGCATAGACTGACTTATTCTGCAACAGAGCAAAAAATTATTCACACATTGATTTCCTGTCCCCGTCTATTTCCCCTGCAGTATCCTGGTATACTCAGCACTTTCCCACTAGAATAAGCACATGCCACCAGACATACTTCAAGGTTCATGACTTTACTCTTTCCTCTCTCCATGACCTTCAATAGCCATTGAAAGTCAATTCTGCTGGCCACTTTAATGGACATTTGCTGTTCTCAGCAGTTTGCTAAAATCCAGCATTCTATCCAAGGGGGTCCCTTTGCTATGGAAGGGGGAGGTAGAGAGCTGCAGGTACATAGAACTTCCTGGATCTGATTTTAGAATATTTAAATCCTACAATGCACAGGGCCACAATCACTTACCACTTGCTTAGCCTTTTTTCTTTTTTTTCTTTTTTTTTTCTGGATATATGAGGCAAAAGCTCTAGAACACCATAAGGTTAATCCCTAAGTCTCCTTCCATGAGCAAGGATCTCTGATATGTAGTTGGAGCCCTTTAGGAAAGACTTTTGTTCCAGCAGCCTAAAAAGATAGGTTATTTACTGGAAAAGGCTTTATAAGACCTGACAGAATCATAGTTTTAGCCAGATCCTCTACTCTGTTACTCTTTATAATTCCAGAAGGAAGTAGAAATGCAGAACCCTGACTCTATATTTCCTACTCACCATCCCAAAGCTAAGATTGATAACATTCACATAGAATTTCAAGCAATACCTGCTCATATCTCAAATGCTTTAAATCTTCCATGTTGATTTAGAGCAGCAAAAAATAGAAATAATAACTGGTTAATTCTTCTGATAGAACATTACCCCAACACCACTGAATTTCTCTATCCTCTGATTTTTCCAAACCCACCTCATTTACCATACAGAAGTATTCTCTCCCACTTAGAGCAGGTTGGTAGAATTACCAAACAGTTCTAAATGAATGAATAGCCATGTTTCCTCATTGCATGGGGATTCCTCTATATTTGAGACCCTCTGAGTTATACCATCTGTACTCTGCTATTAGACAGCTGTCAGTATTACTGATTAGGAAATGGCCTAAAGCCAGACATGGTAGCAGATTGCCTGTAATTCCAGCATTTGGGAAGCAGAGTTAGAAAAATCATAAGTTCAAGGAAATGAACAATAGCCTGGAGTAAGGCCCTACCTTGGGGGAGCTAGGGGACAGAAATGACCTAAAATACTGATCTGGAGCACATAAAGGAGGCTGGTATCTTCCCAGCAAATAGCCTGGAACCAAAAAGCCAGACGGTACTCAACAGTCATAGAACTCTGTTATTTCCACTCAGGCCCACACACAAGGACCAAGTGGTCTAAAGTAGTCTGAGATTAGTTTGTACAGATACCTTTCTAATTGCTCTCAATCCTATGAATTGAGATACTTAAATGTTTCTCTCCTTATCCTGTCAAGCTGTGATTGCCTAAACTAAGTCATGAGTTCTTTTCTCAATAGAAATTCTAATGCATTAAAGTGTCTGTTCTTTTTTATCCGAAACTAAAATCAATTGTTTAAATTTTCAAGTAGAGCCAGATCGTGACTGTTTGGTTCCCAAATCAGTAGGTAAGCTGTTTTGATTTTTAGTTTTAAAAAAAAAAATCCACTCATTCAAAAAATCCACATTCATCCAGTTGCCATTATTCTCCATTACCAATTACAGAGCCAAGTAGAAAAGAAATGCCTGCAGGCTCTAAAGCTCCTAAACATAATTTGCTCAAATCAGAGCCTAATATATTAGATTTGCAAATCATCCAGCTCCCCCTAGGGGACTGGAGAGGGGGAGGAGCATCAGAGCCTTCCAGTCATAAACATAAATCCAGCATGCGTGTTCTTAGAAGGCAGAAACTTTACAACACAGATATAAATGTCACCAAATTGCTGTGACTGGCTCTAAAGAAGCTGAAGAAATGCTTTTTTATATCAGAATTCTTCAACCAGGATATTTTGATTAGTGGCCAAAATCTTTATGTACCAGGTAGCTCACCAACAGTGCATGTAACAATCTTGTCAAATTTGGGTTTGGTGGCAGTCAGTCTGTGTGCTTGTACATATCCAGGTTATACAGATGTTCAGCCCCCTCCCCAGAGCAGCATTTGTAGAATTGACCTCTGGTGATTCCTTCAAACCACAGTAGATGCCCAAAGACAGAGAGTGACTCCAATACCTGTTTTTCTGACTCTAACAAACAAAACACAAAGGCTAGGTGAAATATGGAATCATGGAATAGGCTCTCCCAGAAGTATGTGGAGCTCTGTGGTTGAGAAATGAGTTGTGCCTTTTTTGCCTTTAACTGGAAAGGTAAGTAAGTATTTACAAATTCTCCCCAGGAGAAACTCCACCCAGGTCCTGGATTGGAGTAGAATTATATGCCAGTTCTGACAAGTGTGCATGTGAGTGTGAGCTATGCTGAGCCTGCACTTGATCTTAAATGTGCCCATACCAAACCTGATTACTACTGCATCCTCCATTTAGCCTTGGCCTCCTTGCCAGACCTTTTCCTTGCCTTTCCCAGGTCCTTGCATGAGAGAAGCCTAGGAGCCAGTCTCCTTTTAGATTGGTGCTGAAATTTCTACTTTGCTTACTCTAAAAATGCCACTAGCCAAGCTTGCCCTTAAGTTCTGTGCTTGCCCGACCTGCTCTGTGACCTGCTTCTCTTTCAACTTCTTTCTGTGCCTATGGAACATCCCACTAGATTGTTTCCTGCCTTTCTCCTTCATGCTGATAACCTCCAAATTACTCCACCTGGGTCTGCTTGTGCTCACATGTTAGACTAACTTACTTTCACAGTTCATGGCTGTAATATTCCTTGGAGACAAAGATCACTTCATATAATGACAATGATTATGTTGAAAGCTTTGGTCCAATGTCAACACCAATGAAGGATGAGAACTAGGGGCTTTCCATTGGTAATTAAGTTTAAATCCTGCTCATTTCTTTAAACTCTTCCTTATGCTGCACTATGATCTCCCTCCTCCGTCCCTTCCATGACCAAGATACTTAACAGTGGGCAAAGAAGATGGCCAACTGTTTCTACCCTCAGAGACTACATAAACTGTTTGGCTTCCCTGTCTTTGTTCCAAAGTGGAAATTCGCCCTCTTTGGGCAGAGAGCTATTCAGCAGTTTGTCTCTGCTTGTTTTTCCTTTTCACTGTTTTTTCCCTCATGCTACCTTTCATTTCCTTGCTGCTTCATACCTTAACTATTACCATACTAACCTTTATTTCTATCCATCTCATTGTGTGAGTATAAGGACTTTTCTCTGCTACCTGGAAGCCTTTTGTCATCATAATAACCACAGGCTTGTTGGTCCTCATCACAAAAGCCTATTTGCATAACAAAATCATTTCCCTCCTCCAGAAGAGCTCATAGTTTTAGTTTCAAGGTCAGTGCAAATGATGATTTAGGAAGGACATGTATCAGAATATGCAGGTCTATGGGCAAACTGAAGTCTCTGAGTCCCTTATGGACCCTTTAGGGTATTAGTAAGAATATCCATGGGCTGGTTATTCTATTCATTTGCCACATGACAGACTGTAGGGGCTGGACTAGTGCATTGATCTGGCCAACTCCATTATCATTGGATGTTTATGATTTCTGCATTATTGTGCAGTTCCAATTTCCAGAATATGGGTCTGCTTGTGAGCATCTTTAAGCATCCTCCAGCATTAACATGAACTGGGACAGAGAGAACACAGCTAGCTGTGAACTTAGTGATGCATATAATCATATATATCAGGTCAGAGGCAGGCTAGCAGTTGGGGGATTCTAAACAAGTTCTATACACTGCTGAGAAGATCTAGGAGGCTTAATGAAGCTTCCTACAAAGCCGGTTAGAGGACCCATTCAGAGAGCTGACAGTTATAATTTTGGTATGCACTTCATTCTAAACAGTACATGCCATATGCAGAGAGTACTTAAATATTCCCCTCTTGTTTTCCTTGCTTTAATTTTTTTTTAATGAAGTGAATAAAGAGAAGAATTCAGAAAGAAAGTAAGTGGGGGAGGAGGTCAAGTATGGGTGAGAAGACAGGGGGAAGGGAATACCAGCTGAATTTGGACCACACTGAATCCTGAGCTATCATCAGTGACAATTAAATAGGGTCCCTGAAGCTGTGGTTCAACCATGTGAATTTGGTTCAGAAGGCCCCAAGCCACTTGGTAGACTGTCATTCTTATAAGCAATCCAGATGTGATTTTTAAGAGCCTGGTGGTTATGTTCATACAGCTGACCTTCAGCACACTTAGACCTGGGCCAAGAATCACAACCACAACTCTCCCCTCCCTGGGCTTTTCTCCACCACCACCCTGTACATAATTTGCTCTCATTACTCCTGCCTTTCTCATTTCCTTCTTTGCATGCAAACTAAAACAAAAACAAAAAGTCACATGGTTTCTTTGTCCTACTTTTTTCTTCTCTGGTCTGTCTTGTCTCTGTCTTGTGTGTTTGTCCCCTCCATGTCTCACTCTCTGCAGAATCTCCACCAGCTAAAACAGATTCAAACCTTGAAGCAGATGAACGAGCAACTACAGGCTGAGAACAGGGCCCTGACCCGTGTGG